CCTAATTTCCATGGTAATACTCATATGAACAGTGATATCTTTTTACTGTTACCTGCAGCCGGCCCTCCCCAACATCCAATTATATGCATTCCTGCCTCCGCCACTGTCCACACCAAATATGGCGAGGATATGGGGATGTTCAGGCAGCCCTCCACATAGGATGTGGCCCACCCCGGACCATTTTTTTATTCTTTCTTTTCTCTTTCTCTCTTCATTCCCACCAGTCACATGCATGTGATTGGACAATTTGAGGAGGATGTAAGGGACGTGGTTGTTGTTATCTCCTAGGCCGGCCAGGGCGACGGCCCAAGGCGACAAGATGCAACCGAAGATTGGCACTGGAATCCGAGGCCCAAAGGAAGGAGAAACAGAGCACGGCAGGGGAGCCAGCTATATGAATGAAGATCGAGCAAAGAAGAGGTCGTCAAGCAATGAACCCAACCATTTTCTGTTTTCCTCTATGACTTTCCTCCTTCCCCAATTGTACCTGAAACCTAATTGAGAGGGAGAATCCGAGTGCGTGCATAACAGTTACATACATGCATAAACGAAGAATCAAAACGAACGCGCCTGGTCACTGAGCAGACACGTCCGTGAATGTTTGGGGATCGATATTAGCCGATCGTGGTCGTAGACGCTCTTAATGCACTCTTTTTTATATCAGACTATAAAACTACCCTATGCGAGGAACCATATGTATTTCGCGGCCTAAAAATTTATATAGCCTACGTGCTCCTTCCGTAAAGTAATATAAGAATTTTTACCACATGACACATGTGGTAAGCAATCGAAACAATTCAAAAAAAAAGTAATATAAGAATTTTTAAATCATTACTTTACATAGGAAGCAAAAGAAAATTGCATTCAGCTATCTTTACCGTAACGCGCATACTAGTACATAATTTCCCTGCGCGACAAAGTGGCAGGCGATCGATTTTCCAGAATCATGCAAGCAAGCCACTCGCTCCAGGGAATCAGATCGGGCGAGCCAGCTTTGGTGAGTGGCTAGCTGGCCGGTTGGGCGCGCGGGCGTGAATGCGATCACGAGTGAGGGGGGAGGGGACAGGCAACGACCCGCGGCCCCAGCGGGAAAGGCGTGGCCGCCCCCTACCGGATCGGGTCGACGGCCGCGGCACGAGATGTGCGTGCATATGCGTCTGTTTGTTTATTATTGGCGGTGCATTGCATGCATGCATGCATGCGATGGAGAGCGGGCGGGCGAGAGTTGCATGGGCCTCCGCTTGCGTGCCTCGCCAGCTCGCCGTCTTGTCTGGGTCCGTTGGGCAACCCCTGCGCGCACGAAAGCTGGCCGGTGATATGCATGCATATGCGTCTCTGTGCGTCTCTGTGTATGGCTGCTCACAATGTTTGCCTAGACCGTCACCGTATCGGGCAGGATTGGACCGTGCTCTCGCGTTGTCGTTTGCTTCATCGGGTCACAAGTCGGGTCGGCCAAGCAAGTGGGTTCCGGAATCTTCTGTGTGTACGTATGTATTATGTCACTTGACTGAGATTTTGTTAAGTCTCGGCTGAGAGTCGAGACCTAGCCATACCCTAATGCTAACAAGTTAATGTGTCTACTATATAGTATACATGCAGCGTGCGCGTCCTCGCATGCATAATTACAGCATAATTAAGCAGGGTAGGAAAAAGGTGATCGACTGGCCAACAAAGTACGTACTACGTGCTAGTATCACCTTATTTTACCTGGGTAACCCGTACTAGTATTGAAACTTTTTTTTTTGAAAAAACTACTACGTGCAGTTAACTGACGGGCATGGTACGTACGTACGAAGAGGGCGACATGCATGACCGTGAAGACCAGAGTGGCCGTGGCCGAGCCGCGCGCGACACGTCCGTGCGGCGCGGTCCCACCGCACCGGCCGCCGGGCCCCGCCGCATGTGCCAGACAGCCCGGGGGCCCGCCACCAGGCACCGCTGGGAATCTGCCCCGACCCGGTCCATTACTGCCGGGCCCGCCTGTCTGCCCGGGCCCAGACACAGCACCTCCCTCGCTGTCCCCCCGGCCCACCCGTCCCTGTCCTGGCGAGCGTGTGAGAGCAGCTAGCCGGGCACGCAACCACCAGCCACTCCAGCCAGCCACCCATCACCAACCCGGCCGCTATATATGCGGGGGCAGCCGCGCAACCCAAGCGAAGCAACGTCCGCACCTCAACCTCAACCACACGCTACGCTACCTCCGTCTCCATCCAACCATCCAAGCCTCACGCACTTCTCGTTTTCTTCATCCATCCATCCATGGAGATCATCGACGCTGAGCTGCGGCTCGGCCCGCCGGGCAGCGGCGGCGGCGGCGACGCGCAGAAGAAACGGTCGTCGTCGACAGTGGCACTCGCGGCCACCAGCGAGGCCTCCGGGACCGACGACCACGACGCCGCGCCGGCCTCCAAGTAAGCGCCGGCCACCACAACGTGCATATAGCATGTGCACTGGTTGAGCAGGAGCTAATGGAATTTTTGGTCTGTGCGCGCAGGGTTCAGGTGGTTGGGTGGCCGCCGGTGGGGGCGTACCGGAAGAGCACGTTCCAGTCGGCGTCGGCGTCGGCGGCGAAGGAGAGTAAAGGCCCTGGAGAGGCCGGGAAGAGAGGGAGGCTGTACGTGAAGGTGAGCATGGACGGGGCGCCCTACCTGCGGAAGGTGGACCTGCGGACGTACGGGGGGTACGGGGAGCTGCGGGCCGCGTTGGACGCGCTCTTCGGCTGCTTCTCCTCCTGCTCTTCGCCGGACAACGGCCAGTTCGCCATGGCCTACGAGGACAAGGACGGCGACCTCATGCTCGCCGGCGACGTCCCGTGGGAGTAAGCACACCAACACCCACCTTAATTTGCATACCAACCGACCAACGTCGATCTTTGGTGTGGATCTACATGCTACACTATAACCTGAGTCTAACTAACGAGGTTGTTGTTTGTCTGGTTCTGCAGCATGTTCATCTCCTCCTGCAAGAGGCTGAGGATAATGAGAAGCTCCGAAGCACGATGATGATGACGACGAAAAGGACACGATCGAGCACGCATACATACATGAAGCGATCTGGAGATGATGGAAGAGCCGGCCGTGGCACATGATGAGGAGACGGACACACAGACGCATGGGCCGGATGCATGATCAGGCCATGGGTGAAGGGCGACGGAGGCCGGGTTACGCGGGCACGCGCCTGGCATGCCAAGTACTCGACCCATGTACTCGGTACGAGCGCGAGGCTGGGTCCAGGACTCACAGGCGCGCGCGCTCCGGCGGCCACGCCGGCCGGATCGGCCTGGAGCAGTAGCAGTAGCGGTACTGTTTTGTTGTACTAGTAGTAGTAGGTACATGCATGTACTGATGTACAGTCAGAGGTTCAGGCAGCCATGCAGTAAGAAAGAACTTGTGTGTAGATGCTTAGTTTGTAGTTAACCTAATCTTTTGTACCGCCGAGGAGCTGGGACACGGATCGTAAAATGAGGCTGAGACTAAGCTCCAAATTTGGTGGTCTATTCATCCCTACAAGATGAGTACATTTGATCTGTGTCTGCTGATGATGGCACTAGTCATGTCGAACTGGTGGTAGTGGTGGTGGCGCGTGAACTGTCCATCCCAGGACACGTCCGATCAAGAAGCGACGTTTCATCATATTCCTTACCCCTGTGGCGCCATTGCCATTCCCCTGGCTTTTCCCTTCTCCTTCCATACCACTGTACCCGTTCTCCCTTCTCTTTTCCTGTGGACATATTCCTTCCAAGAACAGTACACATAAACCACATCGATCTGAATGAGATCAAACCTAAACATTCATATCAGCACCAGCAACGACGACGATTTCTGCCAAGACGACTCGTTTTTCTTTTGTTTTACAAACGGATAACACGCACAAATCCCGGAGTCCCTGCTCCGTGCAGCGGCGCGGATGTAGAGGAGTCGCTGCATACGAATGTAGAGGAGTCACTGCAAGTCTGCACCGTACGTCACACACAGCATAACCGGGACCTCCACCCCCAATCCTCCAGGGCCATGGCTGCACGAGCAACCAAATCCTGGCCAAAACGCAGGCGCAGGATAAGGAAGCGTAGCCGCCCGATGTACTACTCCACTCCAGTAAGTAACATTGTGCTATCACTACACATGCCCGGTAAAAAACATTGCGAGAGGGTAAGGTTGAACATTCTTCTTGGAGGCTATGGCTAGCTACGGACAAGGCATGCCATGCATGATGATGACGATGATACAGATGCGGACCAGACAGTGGGGAGACAACACTTCAGCGGCATCACGCGTTACCAGGTCATGGGATCGCAGCGGCGGGCAGGCAGGCAGGTCCACACCCCACAGACCACAGCCTGGCAACCACATACGTACTCGGCAAGGAGACGGTGAGAGCGTGCAGCATGGCTTTCAGGCAAGAGCACAGCGTGTGCTCGCCCGAATGGAGCTGGCACCCAGTTGTAAAGAGTTGAAGACATACTCAGGGACAATAAGAACGAGCAATGTCGGGTGTTTACGACGGTAATTTGTTCTGTATCTGCAAGACAAACGGGGGCGGGGCGACGGGAGGGAGGGTTCATTTTACATCAGAGAGAGCGAGCGTACAAAATCATCTGCTTGCTCAGGCACACTTTTGCTGGGTTTCTTCCTCCCTTTTCGAACCGACGAGCCATGAACGAAGCCGCGCTTTGGGATGGAACAGATCTTGGCTTCTGCTCTTCTGGAGGATCGGAATATTCATTCATGCCTGTGGAGATGGACAAGCAGCAGCAAGCATCATGAGACTTTTGTATAATACTGAAGTACAGGGCTACAAGGTGACATGGTATCGGTGGTGTTGTACGCAGGCAGACAAATGGTACAAAGGTAACCAACTAAGATATTATTCCCAATGATATAGCTTCCCCACTTGTGTGAAAAAAGTCCAAGCATAACCAACTTACAGTTATACACATACATACATACATGCTACACACCCAGACACCATGTGGAAAGATTTCTCTTCACGTTTGTCAGATTTTATTATCATGACTGTTCTTATGAATATCATCTTGGGATAAATAAGCATGCAACATCTGAGTCTCTCTAGAAAACGGTACGCCAACTTGTGTAAAATAGTCCAGCATAACCAACTTACAGTTATAAACGTAAAGACATACACACACACAGCATGTGGAAAGATTTCTCCTCATGTTCCTTAGATCTTATTATGAATGTTCTCATGGACATCTACTTGCCATAAATAACCATGCAACATCTGAGTCTCGCTAAAAAACTGTCCACCAACTTGTGCGCAATAGTCAAGCATAACCAACTTACAGTTATACATATACATGCACCACACCCACAACATGTGGAAAGATTTATCTTCATGTTTGACAGATTTTATTAGTCTGACTGTTCTTATGGATATCTACTTACGATAAATAACCACACAACATCACTGACTAGAAAACCTTTAGGTTCAAACCATCGGAGTTATTTTCAGTCATATATAGATATCAGGACATAATGTACGAAGGCTAAAGCATGTATGCAAAGTTATACCTGCTTCTTTTTCTTCGGTCTCCTTTTGCGGCGTGGCTTATGAGCATCAGAATTTGAACTCAGAGTGCTGTTGTGATCTCCAGAAAGATTGGATGCTTTCCTATTTTTGAATGAGTTACCGCTTGTGCTGGTCGAAGCATTGCTAGAGCTGGACACCGCACGTTTATCCGCAGATCTAGCTCTATTAGGTGGTAATGAGCGAGGTGGTGGCATAAGCACCCGAGCATCTCTCTGCCGCTGCATTGCATAGTAGTGGGCTTAAATATAAGGAAGCAAAATTGTGACAGCTGATTGGAAACACTGGAGACGCAGTGCAGAAAATAACCTGGTTCTTTTCATCACTCGACATACCAGACGCTGCCCTACCTGAAGCACCAGGTTCTCTGGAAAAAAAAGCATTAGAATATCTTTCCGTGCTATGCAACATTTATGTAGTGATGAAGTCACTGAACATAAGATGTTAAGGCAAAACAGATACAAGGTTACGATCCAGGCTGAGAAAATCTGTGGGGAATAATTTATTAGAAAATATTATGTCTTCCCACCACAAATTGAAATGATTCAAACTGCATGAGCATCAACCAACTAATGAAATGATTATAGACCCTGTTTTTCGGGAACCAGCCTTGTCCCTTGACTTCAAAACTAAGCTGACAATGACATTTGCCATGGGAAAATCGTCCGGTCATAAAAAAAATGCTATCTTGCAGACCCAAATAGGATATTTTGCAGCAGTAAAGCAACATTGCATGGATTCACTTACATATCATGATTACTCACAGATAGTTTTAGGATAACCCAATTTTATTAACGCACCCGTATGCAATAATCTAAGCCGAACTAAACATTAATTGGTCACCCCGTGTAATGTTCGCAGAGTAACAAATTTATAGCATGATATACCACTGGGAACCTAATAGCAAGTACAATGTCCAAGAGTTGTGAATCATACTTTGTACTTTTATCGGTAAGCTCATCATCTGCCTCTTCATCACTTGAACTTCCAGACATAAAGAAATCATCTTCACTCACATCCAAGGTGTCATCGTCACTGGCTGTCTCTGTTGGGTGATGCAAAAACAAAATTCAGTGCTTTAGACAGTACATATCTAGCCAACAGGTGGAACATATTTCAATGTAAACATGAAGGTTGAAGATGCAATCATAATATAGATAAATCAATAATTGAAAGCTAATCAAGAGGAACATGTACCTTCTAGGTCCTTTCCATTTGCTGCCGCCGCGATGAGATTCTCCTTGATCTGTTTACGCCATGCATTCCTTTTCTCCACAACATCTGGTGTATTACCCCCGGTGAATAAAGGGAAATATTTTTCTTTCTTTGGGAAAAACTGCACAAACAAAGATAAATAACCTTTAGCTGAAAATTGAAGGAGGTTCAATGGTTCTAGAACAAGTACCAGCCATGAATGAGACCAAGGATACTCCTTGGTCCTAAAGAAATATACAAAATCCCATGCCAAAAAATGGTTCACAAAGCAAAAGAAAGAACGTCAGTGAGCTTACTCTAACATATTCAAGATCTTCTCGCAATGTTGCCAACTTGTTGCTGGCCTCATCAGCATTTAAACGTTGCTGTTTATCAAGACGCCTTATCATCCTCTCAATCTTTCGCCTCTCTGTGAAGTTAGAATGCCCACATCAAAAAAATCATAAGGTCATACAGGCAGACAGTCACAAAGGACACTAGAAACGAATACAAACAAAGGTAAGAGGACACCGACCAAAAAACTTTATCTTTCTATCCCTCAACTGTATTGTGCGTTGCATGGCCTCTTGAGTCTGTTTCTCTTGCTGTCTCTTTAGTTCTTCCAATTTCTTCTCTTGAGCAACCCTCATGTCATTAGGAAGGTCCTGTAGATAAAATATGCAAGATCTCAATACAGGTCTCAAATGTATGTAGGGCTAAGGCTAATATGTGTTCTGCAAAATGGCACCAGATACATATGGAAGAGGCCCCAAGTCTGCCAGAACTTGTCATTTGGGGAAAGCTTTGAGCATCGATTCCTTAATTTGGATTAGTATGAATCAAAACATATGTGTATAACTATGTGCATCAGACATCACGCATGCCAGGCCTGGAAACATGGATATGCGAAAACCCAGTGTATCAGGCCCGGATACTCGGATACATTCAGATATGCACAAATATGTACCTCATACGTATCAAAGGAATTTCTATTTAAAAGAATACGCCTGTGATACCTCCAGAATACATAAAAACCCTACACGACCCCAACTATATACAGAACGCCCCGCTGGCCCCCATGCCCACCTGAGAGCCACACTTGCCCTACCTGATCACCGCAACACCAGCAAGAAGGCCGGCCTTCGGTGTTCCCTCCACGCATCTGAGAACCGTCACTCCTTCCCCCATTAGCACCGCCACCCCTAATCCCTCTCCCTTGACCTAAGTGCCTCCATGCAAGGAAGGAGGCCAGCCTCCAGTGCTCCCTCTCCACCCATCTGGCGCTGCACTGGAGAAAAACAAGCTAGCCACTGCTCCACCAGACAGATTTGAGCACCGCCTCCTTCTCCTGCATTTCCTCCCAGGCTCCAACCAACCAGAGAGGCAACATTTTGGCCACGGTGAGTTGAGACTTTACCCTTTCTGTCCTTTGCTTGCTGAAGTTGGTCTTCTCGTTGTCTAATGTTGTATATGCCCTATGTTTTTAAGGCGACGCTTCGCTTTAAGGCGCTGGGGGGGCGCCTCGACGCCTGGGCGCCTAAAGCGGGCATATTTGCAAAGCGCTGGGGGAGCGCCTCGACGCCTAGGCGTCGCCTTACAGACGCCTTGAAAACATAGCATATGCCTCACACTTTAGGATGTGCCGGCAAATATATATGCAACAGGCCTTTGTGGAATCACGTGGACATCTTAGAAGGAGGTGCAGGAGGTGGAGGAATTGGGCGATTCAGATGCAAGAATTATACTCAGGAAGACAAAGGAAGCTACAACAGAGTCAAAATGGATTTGCTTGATATCCAATAAGGGGGTCAGATCATGCCCACCCTACTCTTCGGCAGCCTTCAAATTGAAGTTGCAGTTGCTGAAGAAAACTAAAATCATATTTACATTGCATTTTCATGTTTCTATCACCTTATTAGCATTCCTAAACTGTCCTGTTTTCATATAACCATTAATTTCTATTTTTAAAAATATTTATTATATATAGGCAAACATATCACAGTATCTGCACTTTTGAAAGAAAAAAATGCCATGCGGCAGTACCGGTGTTTGTATCCATATCGCCATATCTGGGGGCAACCGAGTGCACAAGTGTTCCTTGAATAGAAGTGAATTTTCCACCATCAATGGTGAGTGGTGACGTTAATCCTACTTGTTTCTCAGATAATTAGGGCAACCTGCTAAGCTATAAACCACTCGTCATCGACCCAGAGTCCCAGACTGCACTTCCAAATGGAGGACAGCAATCAAATGTTATTCCTGACATTTTTCAGATGTATCGAGCATTCAAGCTAAGGCTTCCTACATAACATCAGATGTACGGTTCTCAAGCAACGTTGTATCGAGCATTCGAGCTAAGGCTTCCTACATAACATCAGATGTACGGTTCTCAAGCAACATTGCACATACCCGTGCCAAAGCCAGCATCAATCCAGCTACAGCACTAAGCTCTTGAAATCCTTAGAGCGGGCACTAAACACAGCTAATTGCAAGCAAAATGGGGCACCAGTCGGACCATCTATGACTGCAATCCCTACACTAGCAAGTGGCAATCGACACTAATTGAGCCAAATTTTTAATCAACAAAGTCCGAGCAAGCACTGCTCGACCACAACAAGCATAGCCAGTCCACGAGCCACCACCACTGACCGGTAACCACAGGCGAGCGAGGAGAGACCCAGTACCTTGCGGAGGAGGCGCTCGGTGGAGCGAATCTGGTTCTTGAGCGTGACGGTCTTGAAGACGGCGGCGCGCTTCCGCTTCCGGTCAGCGGCGGGCGCGGGCGCGGACGCGGAAGGCTTGGGGCGGCGTGCGGCCGGGGCGCGGCGGGGCTGGCCGCCGTGCGCCATCGCCGGAACCCTAGGGCGGCGGAGGAGGAGGGAGGGGTCGTCGCTTGTGCGTGGCGTGCGGGCTGACGTCTGAATGGCCGTGGGGTTCCTCGGTTGGGTTGGGCCGGATCGGTCATGTAGAATGCCCGGCCTGCCATGCGCAGATGCGCTTCAGCGTTTCCGTGACCGGCCAGGCTGTCAGTGACTCAGAACTGTTTTTTTTTTTGTTCGCGTGGTGACCTAGAACTGTTGGTAGTACTCGAATGGTGACACGTCAGCTGACTGAAAAAAAACTCCCTATCTGGTGATCTTTGTGAATGGCCGACTCAACAAAGAGCTTGTGCTTGGCAGAATGTCATGGCCTCATGGGGCTCTTTTGATAGGAGCCCCCTTGCTGTCCAGCCAAAATGTTGACGTTGACTTAAATTTCACGTCTTTTTTGGATGGGCTTCAAAGTTTTGGCGCGCCAGCCCACCTCAACTTTTCCTCTCTATTTTTGCGTCAATTCACCGGAGAGATGAGGTGACCGAATGGTCTGTCAATATTTTTTTGTACGCCCATGATTCGGCGGGACGCACTTGGGTAAGAACCAAACAGCCCCCATGTGTTACAGATTTCGAGACTTTATTAGGTGTGGGAATAGTTGTTTGGGAGATACGGTGTTTGCAGGTGATGCTTCATCAACTTGGCAGGCGATCACCTACAGTTTAGAGCTCTTCAAGAATGGGCTGATCTGAAGGGTCGGCAATAGTCAGAGCATTCATATTTTGAGAGATCCATGGTTGCTGAGGCCCTCGTTGTGTAAACCCAAGGAATATGAATTGCTCACTGGTCGAGGCACATGGAATGAAGATCTGCTCCATCAACACTTCCTCATGCCAGAAGTGGATTTTTTATTTTTTGAAGTTGTGCTCCTCTCCCCCAGCATGATGATGCACTAGCTTGGGTGTCGGGCCCGAAGGGCATCTTCTCCGTCTGCAATGCTTATACGTTGGCACTCAAGGAGAAACTTGGCACCTCTGTGTGTGCTGTGAGCAGGGCACGGGACGACAACCGCGGCGTCTATAAGTCGGTGTGGAGGTGTCCTACTCCTCCTAAGGTACGTATTTTCTGATGGGGACTTGCTATGAATTCTTTGGCCACAATAAAAAACAAATGCAAAAGAACTTCAAAAAATCTGACATATGTGTTCTTTGTGGTGTTGAACCGGAGGGTATGTTTCACACTATGTGCAAATACCCTATGGTCATTATGTTATGGAAATCCATGAGGGGGTCCTGGTTGCTACCCAAGATCCAGAACATCAAACATAGTGGCTCTGAAATGGTTGCTTCATCTGCTGGATACATGCATAGACACTATGCAGAGGGCCATCTTCATGACATCCTAGTGCGTTTGGCATTGCATAAATGAAGTCACGCATCATAAACCAACACTGACAACTGAGAGCTCAAGGAGGTTTCTGAACAACTCAATTGAATCCCTCATATGCTGACATGCATCAAGCAGAACCCGAATGCTGACTTTGCCAAAGGCAAGATGGTGGATGCACTCGGGAAGCAGGCTCCGCCATCGATCGAGTCTCATGTCTGGTCCGGCGAGATCAGTGGTAGGGGAACAATGTAGAAACCACAATCAGGGAGGGCGAAGTTGAACATCGATGAATCTTTCATGGAGAACGAGTCCACTAAGGGTATAGGCATGGCGCTTTAGGATGAGACATGCGCTATCATTTTCTCATCATGTTGTTATCTTCACTGTTGCAGCTTGCCTGGAAGACGTCTCCATTGCACTTCAGCAAACGAACAAACCTATTATCAATGAGCTTGGTTATTTGCAAGTAGTGGACTTCCTAACGCAAGATATTTTCAATAGATCTACAAGCATGTCTCTGGTGGAGGACACCAAGAGCCGCTTGCAAGGCAGAGAGCATCGAATTGAGCACATTCACTAGGCTCGTAACAGGGCTGCTCATCCTTTCTTTTGTATGGTAATACATGTCTCATTTATATCATAATGATCATAGTACAAGCCACGTACGACATATCAACCTGACAAAATTGAAAAGACAGCAGAACGCTAGGCTTTGCACACAGAAACACCAGTCAAGAAGTAAAAACATAAATAAGATCGAAGAATCCTCCGAGCTTGACACCAACGCATGTCACCTACCTCTGGCACCACCACAACAGCCATAAAAGGAAAAAAATGATGGATCACCTTCACATCCGAGCTCGACGTGGCTCTATCGCTGATATGCAGCTCTGCGGACCTCCAAGGTGGCTTGCCAATAAAGGCAAAGCCATTGCCGTTGAACGAATCAGATTGAGGCAACACCCCGAACAACACGATCAAACTTCAAATCTGGCACCCTTGCACGACTAAGATGTCTGAGGAGGAAACCATACCTGCCTGCCGCGAACCACGAACACAACACATGATCCACTATCTTTCCAGACGCCGCCGATGTAGACCATAATCTACATCCTCTCCTGGACTACCTCCCAAACTCCGTGCCAATGCTGGAGCAAACGTCGTCACAACGACGGAGCCCGAGGTCACAGGTCCACCACGAGGGTACCCCCGCCACCGCACCGTGCTTGCTTGAATAGGCTGGTTTCCAAATCCAACCCCAATGCGGATCGCCTTGTCAGGGAAGGATCTAAAGATTTTTATTCGACGCCGCCATCGCCATCGCCGAAACCAAGACGATGAACAACCCAAAACCCTAAGCTAATAATGCCTAAAACAATCCACAAGTGTGGATCCGGCGACCCCCCTCACCACTACAACCGAGGTCATCGATGGAGGGGAGCCGTCGGAGGACGGTTGCGGAGGAAAGTGCCCTAGCGGCTGGATGCAATAGGAGTCTTCGCCGGTTCTTAAATCAGTGGTAGATTCCTATTGACGATTTAGATTCTATACAAAAAGATCGTTGATGATCAATGTATTTTTTATATGTACTTCTGTGTAGCAGTAGCGCGCGTTTTGGCTGAAAGGCGGTACTGATCAATGTATTTTTTCTGCGTTCAGATGCACAATTTAAAGAAGAAGAGGAGGAGGAGGAGGAGG